GAAACATAATGAATAGTTGAGTGATAATTTTGTAATTTTTAATCGTCGAGTGACTCAACAAAGCAACACTCTATAGTCATAATATCATTTTGTAACTTTTAATAGTCAAAAGACTTAATAAAACAAAATATTATAGTCGATGGATTATTTGTATACTTACCCTGTTATTATAGGTATTTATTTTGTTAAATTTAATTATTGAAAGGCAAGTGGATCCACTGAATTTTTGTGTTTGAAAACAACTGTTTATTTAACCCTTTTTTTATTTAATTTTCTCTGCCCTGGTGAAAGTGAATTCTAGTTGTTTCTAGATGGCAATAAAACAAGTACTGTACTACTAGTCTTCACCTACTCCTGATTGATCCGTACATAACTGTCTAAGAACTTGTCCACTTTGTCAATAGCACGAGAGAACCACTTTTATAAATATTTAGGATTATAAGATTGGTTAAAAATTAAATATTGAGATTAATATTAAGAAATGATATTATCGAATCATGGACCATAAGTTGGCCAGGTGTTTTATTTTCTTTTATTTTCATAATAATAAATAAATAAATGGTATCTTTCTCTTCTAGTTGAGAGTGGTAGCTCTAGAACACGATCTTTTCTATTAGTTAGGGTAAATTATAATATTTTTCTTTATTTTCGATTTAATCGATTGTGATATTCTTTATGAATTACATATTTTGGAATGAGTCTCGTTGTATGTCTGTCGGTGAATATTGGAGCATTAGAATGTTTAAGTTTTGAATATATATTTGACAATTTTGAATGGGTTCTAAGAAAAATCAATTAAAAAAAGAATAAAAGAATATTATGATACTAATTTTATGTGAACACCAACCGACGATAAACTTTAATTTTTTTTTTTTGGTAAAGAAGGGAATACTACCATAGGTCTTATTAAAAATTCCTATAATCTTAGTTGGAGAAAAAGAGTATCGATAATAGTATTACAAAAATAAAACTAAACGACAATACAATCATAAATTATGTGAAACTAAAACATGTACCATAGAGAAAGGGATTAAAACTTTCCTAAAAAATGAGAAAAGTATCGATAAGTCCCGATAGAATTAAAATTTATATAAAAAGAAAATTCAAGAAATTTAATATCATAATTGGAATTTTTATAGTTAAATGAGAAAAAAATACTTTTAAAATTTAGTAATTAATGATATAATTTATTCGTAATTTTATTTTGACTGAGATGGATCCTTAGGTAGAGTTGTTCTAAAGGTAGAATACTACTGCAGCAAATTAGTGACCATAACTGGCGGAGATGGAGTCATTAATTTCGGCTCCCATTTTCATGGTTTAACCATTTGATGATAAATGTTTATATTTTTAATTGTTTTTTATACTTAAACTCGAGATTTAAAAAACTAAAAATAATGATTTAAACAATAAAATTGTTTGATTCGTATTTTTCTTTCTTTCTTTTGATCACGAAGGAAGAAAGTTGAATTCGAATAAGCTTTACGTTATGAATTTAACTTGTGTAATTTTAGTCATAAATTAATTTATTTTAAAAAACCGATCCAATTAGTATTATGTATATTGCTACGTGTTTAAGAGAAGTGAGGTTAAAAAGAAAAAGGGAAAATTCTAGAGTTCAAAAGTGGAGATATTATAAATATTATCAGATATATATATTTTTTAAAAAAGAATTATAATTTTATGATAATATAAAATATTTAATTTTGTAGGAACTTTAGAGCAATCAACCCATGAACTATTTCGATGTCATCTTTTGGCCAAACTTTTCTCGTTGAACGAATAAATATTAAATCAAATTAGAAGAAAATTTAGAATATAAGTTCCAAAATAAAAAATCACGGTTATGAACCATGAATATATTTTTATTATCAATTAATTTATGTCACCTCCTCCGAGATATCCATCGGTCACCACAGAGAAGAACTAAAAGGACTCGGGGTGAATTTTGAAAGGTTTAGGAGTCATATAGGTTCAGAATAGCATGGTTTTTAGGCTCTAGGGGTTACGGGGAGATGATTTAAGGAGATTATCGCCGTCAAAATCGTCGCTCGTGGTGGTCAACTAGGAGTCGATTCATTTCTCATGGCAAAGGGATGGAGGAAGAGTGGAGAGAGTTTGAGAGAAACATTATTTCTCTTTTTAGCAAAAGAGAGGAAGTGATAAAATGAAAGAAAAATGGTCATTTTCGGCCTGATTTTAGGGTTATATACCATACGTTAAATGACGTCGTATATGGGGAATAGGCGTAGGGATAGACATGGAATCCGAATCCGATGGGTTTAAACCCGATCGGATCGGATTTTTTTTTTTAAAAATTAGGTTCGGGTCGAGTCAGATCAGGTTTTATATTAAATATTTAGAGTTAGGTCGAAGTCAAATTTAGGGTTAAAATAATCCTACCCGACCCGACCTAAATAATTAATGTATAAATATTATTAGTTTTTACTTTTTTACATTCCCTATTCCTACCCTAGTCGGCAACTTTCATGGTTCTCGAGAGAGGTGAAGGCCGTACAATTGGCAAGCGTGTGATTATTAGGTTCATTCATGACAATGCTCGGATCTCCAAATTCCCTTTACTATTTACTATTTTAACTCCTTTTAATGTTTTTTCACGTCCTTCCGCTTTTCCCCTCCTTTTTATTTTAGTCCAACATATGGGACCAAGCGTGATATTAGATTGTGGATTACACTTATCAATGAAATTTCTTCCAACGATTATTTTAGATATTTTTTTATATTTTAAATTAAAAAATTTGTGGGTTTTAATAAATAAAAAATTAAATCGGGTCGGGTCAGGTCGGGTTGGGTTGGGTGAAATTATAGTTTCATCGGATCGGGTCGGGTTACGGGGTGGAGTACCCTTTCTTCTCGGGTCGGGTCGGGTGATCCAAAAACCCTACTCGACCTGACCCATACCCATCCCTAAATAGACGTGCATTTTAGTGCTTAGGTTAATTCCCTTCTCAGTCATCTATACTTTGTAATTTTTCAATTTAGTCACTAAATGAATGTTGAGTTAATTTTAGTTTGAACTTTAAGTTTTATTTCGTTTACATATTAGCCATTGTACATGTTTTATGTGTTTTAGGGTAAATATTGGATTCAATCCTTAAACCTTCGGACTAATATTTAACTTGGTCCTTAAATTTTAGATTCAACACGTTTTAGTCCTCAACTTGTTATGTGTTAGAAAGTGTAATATTCATGCTTTAGGTCCTCCTAGGTTTGTTGAATATCTGTTCTAGTCACTGATTAACATGATTAGTATGTGGAACAAAATGAATTTATTACCTACAAGTCCCTATAGTTCCACCCTAGTTCTAATTTAATCTATTAATTCTACATACTTAATATACATGCTTGATTTAATTTGTTAAGTACTCCCATGACACATGTATTCTAAATATTTCATTAAAAATGATAAAATATCCTTAGATTAGTTAATAGTAATCACTAATGTTCATATCAATTTTCAAGAACACACTTTGTAGAATGGGCGTGAAAAGTGCAACTTATCGAAGTAGTAAAATTCAATACGACATTCGAATGAAAGGAACTTGAAAATAATCGAGTATACTTTAATAAAAAGAATGAAATAATAATTGTTTTATTTTAATGATGGCACTGTGTTTGTTTATTTGGCATATTGCTTTAATTTTATTTTATATTTGATTCATGCTTAATGTGAGACCCAAATATATAATAAAGGGAATATTCTTGTATAGAGAAGAGTTAGATGGGAAATTCTTTCCATTGGTGGACATGTGAATCCTGTGATCTCCTCTCAAAATAGGGAATATTCCTTATAGTTTGAAACAAATTAATTGATAAACAATAAAATAAATCGTGAGATAATTTTTGAGTTAAACATTTTTAATTTCCATTACAACGAGGAAGTATAAGCGATTAGGTACCAGTATTGGACTTGGTGGGGTGTTTTTCTTTGCCCACTCGTAACCAACTTCCGATCCCTTACAAAATGAATTTCTGGTAAACGTAGATAAATTTTTCTTTAAAAATGATTCTTTATTAACTTGTTTTAAAAGACATTTTTACATATTCAACCTACCTAACCCCAAAGGTCGATGGAGAGTTTGAAATACATCGATTTCTAAATAACTAAATTTTCAAAAATAAAATGTTTATCTAAAAAATAAAATCGTTTTGGTTTTGAAAAAAGAAACATTAGGACAATCCTGCAAACAATCAATAACTTCTCCTGTAATAGGCTTGAACTATAACCACCATGCTGAAAAGAATTCTGGCCTTGACAACCTTAGCTTCGCTAAATGAATTGTCGTACCGTTTTCGGCCAAAGCGAATCAATTCAGTATCAAATTTCATCAAAATAACTGTTTTTATGTTTCGATATACTGCAATAAAAATATGCATTTTAGATCTTTTGATGATCTTTGGAAAATTCAGAATCAAATCTAAATTAATTCAGGACTTAGTACAACTTATATGAACATATCTTCTTCGACAAGTGCTTCATGAGATCACTTCTATAACGAGTAATTGGGACCGTAAATATGTTTAGATTTAGGCAATACGTAAAGAAATTTGTGGAGCATTTATTTATAAAAGGACTATTTTTAGTGCCAACAAATCCATGCATTCGTAAAATAATTGGAAAACACATCCACAGTTACGTAAGGATTCATTTTTATTATTAAAACAAGTGGGCGCACTGGACAATACATTGCCGAATACAAATTTGTCTACATCATTAACTTCAGACGCAGAGACTAAGCTGGGCTCCTGATTTTCATCTCCACGGCCTCTCTATATATTTGTTCAAACCATATTTTGTTGCTTTATTTGAATCACTCTTCTCCTGCAAAAGAAAAGCCATAGTTTTCTTTATTGAGCTGTTTAACGATCAAAACGTGGAAAACAACTTGAAATAATGCATCTTGACGAGATGGAAAAAGAGATTCTAATGTATGTTACCTTAGAGTACGATCACAACCGTAACTTAGTAGTGGTGACGAGGTGGTGGTGGTGACTTGTACTTATATGTCTCCTTAGGAGGAGGAGGAGACTTGTACTTGTATACCAGAAGAGGTGGAGGTGGAGACTTGTACTTGTATGGCTCCTTAGGAGGAGGAGGAGGAGACTTGTACTTATAGACTGGTGGGGGTGGCGGTGGTGACTTATACTTGTATGTCTCCTTGGGAGGAGGAGGAGACTTGTAGACGGGAGGAGGTGGAGGAGGAGACTTGTACTTGTATGACTCCTTAGGAGGAGGAGGAGACTTGTACTTGTAAACTGGAGGAGGTGGAGACTTATACTTGTATGACTCCTTGGGAGGAGGAGGTGGAGACTTGTAAGGTGGTGGAGGATAATGTACCGGCGGAGGTGGTGGAGATTTATACTTGTAAACAGGGGTTGGTGGAGGAGGAGACTTGTACTTGTATGTCTCCTTGGGAGGAGGAGGAGGTGGTGACTTGTAATGATAGGGTGGTGGTGGGTACTTCTTAGGAGGAGGTGGAGGTGAGGAATAAGTATGATCAGCTGAGATTTCAAAAGGCAAACTAAAAGACACTGCTAAGATTAAGAGAGAAAGAAAGAGAGAGGTCATTGAAGACCCCATTTTCCCCATGTTTACTACAAAGCTGGGTTTAGTTTTGTTGTGCTCTTAGCCACCCTCTTCACTTGCTTTATATAGACTTTGTTTTTACCTTGTAAACATCATGAGGTTAATTTAAAATTGTAAAAAAGTCAAATAAAAATAAAAAGGAAAGTTTGAACTGATTAAGATTCATAGTTTATATTATTGGGAGAATCTTTGAAGTTGGCAGCTTGAGTTGAAATTGGTAGCCAAGCAGGGAATAAAGTAATGGTGTCTCGAATAGGATATACAATTTAATTTAAATTTATTAGTCTCATAGTTGATTTTATACGTATCATATATATATCAATATGATGTGATAAATAAATTTAATTAATTTTTAATCAATTAAAAGTACAATTTTTTTATAAAAAATTGAGCATTTATTTAATTTTTAAGAAAAAATTAAGAAAGTAAAGAATTTTAAAATATAACAATATTTAAAATAAAAATATTAGAATTATAAAATATTAAAATTTAAAATTCTTAAAAATATATAAAGTATTAGAATGTTTAAACAATTATATCGAAAATATCTTTATTGTATCTCGTCAATTTAAATATATTATTATTTCTTAAATATATTTTTTGAGTATAATCAACATTATATTAATTTAATGAAGAAAATAATATGTGGGTATATTCTTACATTTACACGGATCATATCATGAACCTTATAGTTCGAACATTCAACTTAGATTGAGGGGTGAACTCTCTGGCCACTAGTTCTAACTAGCAAATTTTGAAAACTCTCAGCAATTAGTATAATCCATGTTCTATTTTATAATTAAAATATTTTTTTATTTTTAATATAATTATCGACATTTGACTCATTTATCCATTGATCTTATTTAATTTAACCTGATATGACATAATAAAAACACATCTTCAATTTATAATTCAATCGGATCCGAGTTTAGTGTAATTTAAGTAACCCGAAATTCGACTCGTCTTTTAAGATAAAATTCACACTCGATCCAATCAGATCTAACATAAATATATTTATAATCCTTAATTTTATTTTGTAAAATAGAGATCTAATTGAAAAAAATATAGAGGGGTGTTTTGTTTTGCTAGGAAAAAGTAATATTATATTGAAGATTAATCTAGAACGTGTGCCTCGTTAAAAACATATCAAAGCTCAATCAGAGGAAAAGAGTACAACACAACTATATATAATTATATTATTCTTAACCCTAAGCCTAAATAGAGAAAAAGAGTATAACACAATCAGCAAAAAGATGAGTATTATTGTAATTATTCATAAATATATAAGGTACAATTATATTATGTTTATTGATCAAGTCGGATATTTTTTACCCTAAACATTAACCTAATCTAAGCCGAATTCATAATCTAAAAAATACGACCCGAACTTAATTTTTTTTTAAAAACCTACCCAATAAAATTAGACCAAATCCAACCTCATTCAATTTGAAATTAATTATGATAAAAATATTTATTACAAGGCGTAACATAATTGCATATTTCCCAATGGATTTGATTGCTTTGAAAAAGTAGTATATGGCACCTAACCTTTGCATGAAATTTGTGGCAAAGGGACCGGGCGCTTAGACTTTATTTGCCAACCAGGCTCCATTTATTTTAATTAAACATAAATAAATTTTATTAATTGAATGATATTCTGGATCAAATCACCCTTAATATATGCTACATCGGTATATGATTTGATTAATATATGCTACTTGTTTTAATTCCTTTAATTTAGATTAAATCATTTTTATTTTTGAATAAAAAGATTATTTTCTGTTTTTCATAAGATTATTAATATATCATTAATTTATAATGACTTGAAGGAAGGGCTATAGAATCAGTTAACAAAGTCTTGAATTAACGTTAGATTAATTTATCCTAATTAAATTACCGTACTATAAGTACAAATCCAAATACCCTAAAATTTTAGTAAAAAAAAGATTCAACTTATTGTCTAGGCTTTCCTCCTTTGACAGCTAATGCAGTAATTATTGACTACGTTTTTGGAGACACACTATCTTTCTATTTTTCTTGGCTAAAATACAAAAGAAACACCATGTTTTGTCTTCAAATTTTCTTGAAAACCAAACACGATTATTTTCTCTATTTTTATTCAATATTTGGAGTATAATTTCCATCGATTTTCATTTTAGAATGTGTTCAAATAACGAGATGAGAAATTATTATATCATTGAGATCGTTTCGTTCGTACATCAATATATTATTTTTTTCGAATTTAAGGTTGGTGTTACAAAATCAATTTAATTAAAAAATGAATTTAGATAATAACTAATATTAAGATTGCATATTTTCCAACCGCCTAGAATGACGACTTTGTAACAAAAAGCCAAATTCCATTTTTATTAAAAAAATTACAACTTAAAAATTAAATAAAAATTAAACTACCGTTGATTATGAGACTTATTATTATTTAGTAGTGAGGTTTTAAGTTCGAGCACCACAAATATAGAGGTATGAGTCTTTTTTGTCAAATGGTTTAGATTTTTTTAACAAATATTATCTTATATTCACCCATGATTTATCAAAAGAATAATAAATTAATAAAATTTTAAATAAACCATTTTCACCCTGTTTATTAGTACAATAGAACATCTATAAATTAATACTTGATAAATAATAATTTCTCTAAAATAATCATTTTTCGGTCCCGACTTGAGCTCAAGATCTAAATTAATAGTTTCCTTAAATTAAGTAGATAATATATTTTTTTGGAAAATTCTTATATAAATCTATGGTGCTTTTAATGTTATAAATTATTAATTCTATAAAATTACAAATATAATTAGGACAACTTAGTAAAATATGATTCTATTCTTGTTTGCTTCTTTTTAAAATTTAAATGTAGTTGTATTTCATCTCTAAAATTATAAATGTTTATGTTGTTTATATAGTAGTTGATTTTCTTACCATACATGAACTTGCATTCAGTTTTAACTAGTACTACCTACTACAATGAACTTTGTTTTTCTTAGAGGTATGTATTATATTTAATTAGTCACATTATACATGAACATCATTAAATTAGTTAATATAACAAATATTTTTTATTCATGAAGAATAATATAGGCATGTTGAATCGGAAACAAATTCTTTAAATTAATAATATTGATTTATCGATTAGCTAATACCTCTAAAGGGTCTCGCCATGAGTACACCTCTAAAGGTTTTCTAACCCTAATGATTGTAACTGCTACGCATTATCTAAATGTGACACTGACACTCCTCTGCATTATCTGAATACAACACTGACTCTGATGTGCATTATCTGAATGCATCACTGTTAGTATCTAGTCTAACATAGCCATTAGACACTAGTTAACTGAGGGAATTCAATGTCACAAAACATCAGTGAAATTCTAACTAAGCTACTGAATGATCTCTTGGTCTCACATAGCCATCATGTACAATTCCCGCTCAATTGAAGCATTGGCTCGATCTCACATAGCCGTCAAACCAAGCTTTAAGGATGTATATTGTACTAGACTGATAAAACTACACATGCATATATGAGGGCCCAAAGGCCACATAACACTGACAATTCCCTACTAGGGGAATTGAGGTAGCCTAACTACACACTAGTATAGTTTTACGCACTAAAGTGAGGCCAACCCCTCACTATCTATTATCTCGCTCGTTCTCTCATCTAGAACATTATACGAAGGTTTATTAGTATGTTAATTCTTGATAATTTATTAAGTTGCTCTATTTTGGTCTTTAGCACTTAAGGATGTTTTAGTTATTTTTATCTTTATGTGTTTTTTGATTTTACGATGATATTGATTATGTTATTCATTTACTACATTATTTATTGTCCCGATACCCGACTCGGGTTCAATACTGAGTAACGATACTCTAGTCGCTCTCACTACGCTTTCTCTCAATTCACCTTTAAATTGGAGGGATAACTATATATTCACCATTCGCTGACCTTCTTGTAGTACGCATCTCACTATTTCTTAATCTTATAAGTTTATCATACCGCTTTTTGGTACATCATCTACAACGATCCTTTATTCTTATATACTCGCTACATGCTTGGTTGAAGGTACTTGAACGTTGTAAATTGTTATGGTTATTTCAGTTGTAATCCACTCCTACGAGTGTTTTTGGTCCCCTTTTCTATTTATATCCCTCATGGACTAAGTTCTACCATTACGGATCATCCATAGCTCTTACGAGCCTTGAAGAGGTCAAAATTAACCATCTAAAGTGGATACTATCGATACTCTACTTGCAATATCAATACCCCTATGAGTATTGGTACCAAAATGGCTTATGTTGCTAAAAATATGACCTAGTATCGATACTCTACACCTTGAGTATTGATACTATAGGGGTAGTATGTATACTCTCCCCAACAGTTTCGATACTCCCTTTTTTAAACCTCAAATTTCATCCCAAATCATCCAATATCGATATTCAAACCTAAAAATGACTTATTTAATTTTGGGAAACACACAAAAATCACTCTAAAGTCTATAGTTTGGTTCCTAATCATGTGCTAAAGCTTTAGGAAGTTAATTAGGGTCTTAAACTATCATAAAACATGTGTTTTACATCAAATTTGTCATCTATATCATGAATCAAGTATGAAACACTAAAATGATCAAATACCCAAATCTCAACAAATCATCAAATACCCAAATCTCAACAAAACATCATGCTTATAAAATCCTTAACACTCCGAAGGATTAGAAATACACTGCCTTGGTCAAAGAATCCCGAAATAAAACTCCTTTGGCTAGCAATAACTCTCCACCAAGACTTGGATGATAAAACCCACATTTTTCTTACAAACAAAGAACCTATATAAGGCTTTAAATCATTAAAATGATGTTGTTGGAGGGATTAAGAACGAAATTGAAGTATGAAAGAGACTCAAGAATTTACCTTTAAGCTATGGTACTTGTGTGGAAGAATGAAGAATAAAATGTGGAGAAAGGAAAAAGATGAAATGAAGGGAAGAAGATGAAATG